AGTGTACCTGCTTCCGAAAGAATTCAGTAAATGGTCCTCATTGTTACCAGAAGCCCATTCGGTAGAAAATTGAGCCCTTCATCAACGTTTTCCTATGTGTGGCTAGATTGGGTGACCGTGTAGAGCCTATGACGAGAAGGTCTCGCTCTCGACAATGAGTAGTTTTTTGTAAGTCAAAGTACTCATCAGAGAAGGACAGACTGTTCCTTTACTTCTTTAGTGAGAACCGTGATCGCTGACGAATGCGTACTTGACCTTTTCCATAACCTTCCCTCGACCACCCTGATTTTGAGCCTCTCCTGGAACCCCGGATTCCTAGTTTTTGAAGGGAATCCATAAGTACCCAACGTTCGCTGAAATATTTGACCATTGCTCTGGAGATACATGGTGTGTAGATGATTCAGCAGATGTTTTTGTCTCCCGACAGTTTTTCTGTTCGAGATCTCCGTCCATCATCCAAGAGGATATTTATTGTTCAATTGAAATTCTTGATGAACAGTGTTGTTCGTCAAATGGGACACTCCAGAGTAGTCAAAGTCCAGAGCACTTAGCCTTGATAATCAGCGGCTGGTGATCTGTCGTCGACGATTTACAACCCCATCCGAGATGCCGATCCTTTAATTTATGACATCCACGCGATACCTAACGTTCTCTTTTTATCGGCCACCGATCACGGTAATGATTCTTTCTTACACATTTCCTACGTTTATAAGTACAAATGGATTAGCACAGGGACTGATAGGTGAGAAAAGTAAAATAAACACAATTTTTTTCCAGAAAATCGCTTCTAGATTTCTCGGCTCCATGTAATTGATTTTTAAAGCTTCAAAATAGAGAGAATCCATCTAAACAAAGTCATCAATAAGCTTTCGAATGAAGAACTCAGTAATAAGCTCACTTAAAGTTCTTGTCTACCTTTTAGGTACCTCATAAATTGTCAGCTAAGCCACTGAATTATCTGAGAAATCGACTACTGCTGGGGAAAGAAAGAACAGGACGCACTCCAAAAACAACCTCATGAAAAAAAAGTCATGAGTAACAAAACTGGTAAAAATCTAGTTCGATGTAATGAAAGGAAAATTTGAGGGACCAAAATTTCGGGATAGAGGTAGGCCCACAGAATGAAGGGACAAGAAGAATAGAGAGGAGGACTACGACTCCGAATAATCCTCATGTCGACCCTTGTTGAACCTTGCCGCCAGATATCGACTTTTCTGCCAAACAAAGTTATTGTGCAGAACCTACACTGGTGTTTTAATTCGCTTTTTTCAGGTTACTCAATTCTCGATCCTACCCATACTTAAGGGCGGGGGTCCTATAGATGGCATGGAGCACAAACTCTCCTACATCACCTGTAAGTAGGTAAATCCCTCAAGAGTTGGAGGCGAAACGATCGAAAGATCGAAACCTAAGATCAAATATCGGTACCTAGTCTACCAAGTGGCCGTGTTTTCCCAAGAAGACTATGCAACCGATGGAAAGTGCTCATGATCAAATGCGATTCGTGAGTTTCAAGAAAAAGACGAGGAATTTTAGGTAAATCTACTCGCAATGGTATGAGCCATGCATCTGACAGCTGTAGTTGCCTGGACAAAGCATTTGGTTTGTTTCATGACATAGAAGCCTCACAATGCTAACATTAGGACTGCTGTCTATTTGGGTAGAGTCAGGTTTGCGAGGAGAAAGGTCCATCTAGTCCGAAATTAAGGGTTTCCCTCCCCAAGTACGAGAATAGCCGTTATCCATGAACCTTTCATTTACAGTAGGTTACCGAATATGTATTTCACCGGCCTAACAGTATCTACAGAGCCGATCAAGCAGTATCTGATGTTTTTTTGCAGGGATGGAGCAGTGGCAAAGGGCGTCCCTGGCATGATACGTGCTTCAAAATCATTTCGAATCAACAAGGCAACAATCGGTTCTTTCTGTATAGAGATGGTCATTTGGCACCGAACTTAAAGTAGTAGTAGAGCTAATTTTAGATAAGCACAAGTCAACCCCTAGGATAGTACCGAAAAAGGGCTGATGACGTCTGACGGGACGACTTTATACCCCATTAAACCCTCTGAATCTTAGTTTCCTCAAAATATCACGTAAAACTCCAAGTTGCGGACGTGCCGGTTCAACTCCACTGACGTGCAGCTTCTAAATTAATGATCTGCCCGATTTCGGATCTCCAAGGAGATACCCAAAACAAGAAAAACTTTGGGTCAATGGATACCCTAAGGTCGTCGGTCGTCTATCACCATTGTGTAGGAAACTTTTTGAGTAAATAAGACCCATGACCGGTCTCAAATTGATGGAGGTTTGCGGGTGACACAGGAATAGCCTAGATGGGTGGCCTAGACTGTTCCTCTGCTGAGTTTTTCAAATAGTCGCTGAACAAAGACGCCTAGATCGGTTTCAAACAATTAACTGAATGCAAAATGGTTGGGATGTAGGGGATTGCAGTGATAGCATAAAGTTTCCCATGCGACGTAAAAACAAAGGATAAAGAAGTGATGGCTTCTGGTTAAGCTTTGATCAAATTTCAACTTGATAAACGTTTGGATTGGGTTTTTCTTTCGATCTTTACTCAATAAAAATGACGAATTCACTTGAACTGAAAGGCAATAGCTTTCACATGCCCTGCACCAACGGCCAGTACAGTCACCCACAAGCCCTACCGTCCGGTGGGTGAGATGTTTTACTAGATCAACTTAATCCGTGTAACCCTACCTGCACTGGATAGATGCCTAACGAATTGAAAGCTGAAGGAGAAACGCTCCCTTCATCCCTTTAGAGTCTGCGACGTCTGAATGGTTAAATATCATGAGCATTTTCAGGACTGGCCAAGGTTTGGGCTCGAAATCCATGTGTAAACCTGATAGAAGCTCTTTGGAGGTTATTTCGAGCCTCCGATCCTTGGAGTCTTTCTTTGTGGAGCAGCTCATGGGATCAATCTCAGCTTATATAATAGACAAACCGAAGTCACTATGTAGCATATTAGATATTCAGAGGTTCCAAATAGAATTGGAAGAAGGTCTAGCGGATGCCACAGGGATTATAACCGCTGAATAAACTCCCTCCACACCGTAAAAGGAGGGGCTAAAATAATGTTGAATTTTCGAATGCATGATGCGATCTATTCCTCAGAATTATGTCTTACAAATAGTGATATATCGTAATCAAACTTTGGCAAAACTTAATTATACATTAGCCCTCTCGTAACTATATACATGCAACTACATGGCCCATCTATTGACCCCCAACAAGAATTAAAGGGTCCCGAGTGGAAATTAACTCAGCAAGCTGCATGGGAACAAAGCCACGCCATCTTTTTCTTGGGTACCGGCTTCACGGTGTATCAACCCTCTGTGGTCTATGAAGGATGATGTTGTGGGGAAAAAGTTTGTTTTACATATAAAGTTTAATTTTTATCACAAATCATACACAAAATTGAAGATCAACAGACAAATGACATTTGATGACAATAAATGCTTTCAAAAAAACAAGTTAATTCAATCAACACAACTTTCGGTTGTGATATCTTGTAAATCGCGAAGTATAAAATGAATTGAACAAACCCTCTCATCGTAAAAATCTAAAGGATACAAACATGTGACCATTGGATTTCTTATACAACTGACAAACGGTAGAAATACAGTGGATTAAGTTAAAGAGGTAGAAAGAAGCAATAAAAAATGGATTTCCCGAGTGATAATAAAGCCATGTTGGTGCACAAGCTAAGGGCTTACTGTCTTGATTTTTATAGGAAGTTTATTCATGGCTTGATTGACAAAGAGTCAAAGGGAGATCTTCAAAACGAGCCAACTTTTCATTTCTAGCTATGGGTAACTTCCTCGTTCCTCGGCTACTGTATCGTAAAGCCATCCTCAACCACGTTTAGAACCTCTTCCGCTGTCCTAAAATAATATCGAAACTTTTTACTTAATAAAATGAAATACCAAACGAGCAGCAAACATTCAAAGGCACAGGCAAAGGTAAACCGCCTGAACTTATCGAGATTAGGTCAATTCTATGATATTCGATAAAAGTGAATGCGCAATATTCATGAAAAATCTAAAAATTACTGAAATGAAATGTTTTCAAAAGCGGATATTCAAAATCCAAATGTCCTACAAAACCCCGCTTGGGATAATAAATAGTCAAGTAATTAAAATGTACATGAAATTTTCGCGAGCACAGAATTCCTCTACGATCTTATGATCATACCGTTAACTAGTTTTCCGACAACGATCGCCACGTTCAGAACTACCGAGATTCTCCTCCAACATAATCTCTTCTGCATTATTTTTGAATTTGCCTAAAAACCACATCCCAACCAAAGCTCACTCCAAACTCTTACATGCAATTAATTATTACCCCTGTGAGTTTCAATCACAGTAGAAGCCATGGCGCATACAGAGATAGCTCATCCATCTATAAATCATACTTATTAGTCATGTAATAGGATCAGCTACTTATACTTCCATTGGATATGGTTGGTACCTCGATAAACACTACGAACTTTTTCACATCAATAATCAATTTGCGAAGAGCTTTGAAGGCTGCTTCAATGCGTGGTTTGTGAAAACTCCTTGAAATCCAGAAAACTTATTCAGTAGAGCACGGTGCTCGGATAGCACTGGTTGCACCGAACCCCGTCCAAGGTAGAAATTCTGTCCACAACTAGCCAACCTTGTGATACTTTATTCAGCACCTTTCCCTCCTCGCTGTAGTCTCATCATAGAAGACAGATTAGGAGAAGGATTTGTAGGCATTATAGTCCAACCACATAAAAATCAGCGTAATCTTGAGTTTTACTCCCAACCTATAATCAGAAGTGTCGCGAAGAGAGTTACTTGACGACGCATTTAATCAGTATGTGGTAGGTATAAGCTCTAGCTGTTTCGGAATCCGAATACTTCATAGATGGAGCTCCTGCTTACTTCTTAAGCTCAACTCCATCTCTTTCTCCCTTTGACTAGATTTCCGTCAAGGCATCTCAAGCGATGTATCTACTGTAAAGTGCCAAAGCAAAACGAGGAGGCGATGTTCGTCGAGTTCACCAAAGCCAGCCTTCCCAAGTACAATATTTCAGACGACTGACAGGTCGTCAAATCGATAGCCGAGCCTGAGGGAATGCCTGGTGTTGTGGGATGTCTGATGGGAGCAGGCCGATGGGGAGCTTCGAGAGTTTGGGGCACACCAAGCAAATACATAAATCTCTCGTCGAGCGCACCATGTGTCACACGGCGGGCCAACCAAAGAAGATTTGCGAGTTCTTGAGAGCGCAAGCAACGACGACGACCTCGAACGACGTCGAATTCGGGGACTGGCAACTTCAGGAATCTGTAATGGTGGAGCCTCCCAAAAAGTTTCCCAATAGAGCTAGGAAGCCGATGCTCCCATCCCCTGATCAGATCGATCCCTCGTGTCTGCACATATCTTGGAAAATTAACTGTCAGCTACGATTACTAGGGGAAGAAAAACAGATTGAACAAGGACTTCCTAAGAGAAACTAATCTGATTCCACCCGCAGACTTCCCGAGGACCGAAATTCAACTGGTATCTTGAAAAAAAAATCACAATAACCCACCGAAATTTTTCTTCCCATCATAACTTCATCCAACCCTTGCCAGCCTCAGTTCCACTGTCATCAAAATCCAAAGTTTAAAGCACATCTACTGTTTTTCAATACCACCACCTACCGTAACCCAGTTTGCAGCCAAAGTCACCAAATCATCCACTAAACCCATCTCATTATTCAAAATGCACCGTTTAAGTCACACAAATCAAATTTGGGCGGAGCAAAAGAAAAACCCCTTGATTTATTTCAGCCCCCGTTCATCTATCTGAACAAAAAGACGCCAAGTCCAACGAAAAAAAAAGTAGACGATGAAAGTGGAAGATATCTGGATCAATAAGAAACTTTGGAAAACCGGTACATAGCACCCAATTCTGCTGATAAATGTGATTTACGACTTCATTGCGATCCTAATGAAAATTGAGCAGACAGACAGAAAGGAGGTCTTCATGGTGTCCAGAGAAAAAGACTTCCGAAAAAATTGGGTTCAAGGACTATTTTGAGGACTACTATAAGGGGTTCCTTGGAAGGGAAAGCTTGCAGAACTCCACCCCAGTGAAAGTTTTTCTTCAACACCACGGGAATGTAAACAGCCAATGTTTCCCCGGACTCCCCATAGCAGAACAATTGGGGTCCAGGAATTAAGAAAAGCAGTAAGCCGAAAGAGTTCATAATCTTCACCGCAAAACCCAAACGGGCGCTAAGGGTGGGAGAGCTTATCTTGGCAGCCGCAATTACCTTATCAAGGGTCCTTATCCCTCGAAAAGCTGTCAGGAACGATGGTCTCTAGCGAGCCATTCCTCGTAGGGTTTCGGGCTTGATCTTGGGCCACGCTACAGTTATTCAGATGAGCTGATAGATTTTATAATATTAGTCATCCATGAAAAAATAAGTACACATATTTTTGAAAGTTTCCGATAAAGACCTCACTTAGTGGGTCGCCAGTTCTAAGGATTGCAAGCAGACGGACTTACCCGTTCCACTTCAAAAGAACGCTCNAAAGAGGAACGAATTCGCCTTGGAATTCTGCAACCAACCAGCCCACCTGTTTGT